TTATATTACATATACTTATTTATATGCTTTTTATATATATAGTATTCCCAAAATAAATCTGCAAGACTCCGCTCTATTATTTTTTTTTTAAACTGCAAAAGTTAAAAATTCTGGAAGCTAGTATTTTCTATTATAAGAATTTTTCAACAATCTCCACTGAAACCGTAGCAAGTCAGCAGCACAAATACCCCGTAAGAAACGTTAAAAGACAGTACATTAAAGGTTTCTAGTTTATTTTTAATGAAAAAAAGGAGTGTTACAAAAAGAAGCTTCATAGTCTAAGATAAAATGAGTCTAAGAACTCAAGCAACACACATATCTTGCTTAATCCGAACTGTTCCTTTTAGCAAGGCATCATGTGAATAGTTCCACCTGTGTTAACCTAACAAGTTGTACAATTCTTCCTTTGAACTAAAAAATTAGCTTTTTCTAAACATTTTAATTATAAAGCGTGCAGACACTGAACTTCTGCCTCAAGTTAGATGCTTCTAGTAAGCGAAATAAGGATCTCTACATAACTGTAGAGCAGAATTCCTAACTGCATGCACTAACCATAATGTGGAAGTCTCTGTGCACACAACTTTTCCTCTCCAGAACATCTCCAATAACATAACACTGAAGAAAGTCAGAAAAAAGTAGTAATACAGCCATAAATTACATGCTACTGGAGGATAAGTTTTATCTTAAGCCATCCTTAATATTGTCAGTAGTGCTAAAGTTACTGGTAATTATGTTTTGGTTTTTTTTTAATCATCTACTTGGTAAGTACAACTACCACCTTAGGACCTTTGTTTGTGATTAATGAAACACACTGCTCAAATACTTACCACTGCTCCTTGTTTTACACAGTAGCCAGCTTTGATAATAGCATTATCTGGGGGATGCTTAGCAGTATAATAAGGAAGGTGACTTTGTGACCGTTTCAAATAATTCCTATCACCCCCTTCACTGCACTCACTGATTTCTTCTTTCTAGAAAAGAAGAGGAAAGTTCAGAATACTCTCATTTTTTTCTAAAGGTCAAAGAATAACTATTCTAGTTATAATGGGAAATAATTGTATCATCCCATTCTCACAAAACCCATTTCCAATTTGTTTGAAAGAATAAAATATCTCTAGAGACAACTGATGAGACTCTCCAAGGGCTCTGGTTGAGTACTTGTAAGCTCCATTTAGAAACTATGCTAAGAAAGTGCTCAGTATTCTCAAACAATATTGACACTTCATGAAGAACATTACAGGCCTAAACCCAAGATACACACATGTATTTAGTGCAAACTCATAACATGACTTTAAGTGCAAAACATAGCAAAAAGGTAATATTTTCTATTAAAACTGAGATTGTTTTCCCCAGAGTCCCTTGCGTCACATTTATTTTCACTGAATTTCACTTGCTATCCTGTTTGTCCATACACGCCATTCCACAAGGCCCTTCTGCCATAGTTTCACCTGCTGTCATCCTCACTATCTCTAATCAGCTGACAATCACCCCCGTTTTTACCCACTTTTCCTGACAGTTAAAAATACCAAAGTTCTGTCTAACACCAACAATTAATTTCACACACACAAAAAGATGTTTTCAGCATACTAACTGATATCTGTGATCAAAAAGCCAATACTGAAGTAATGCATCAGTCTTGTATAATTCCCTATAATCTTGGGAAAAAAGGGAATGAAATCCTCAGAACAAAAACCCCAGTCGGTATCAATAAAAGGTGCAATAAAAGTGGGAAGCCAGCAGCCATATTGTGATACATAACATGTTCTCACCCGTCAAACAGCAAAGCTTCTAATATCAAATAATACCACACTTGTTTCAAGGGTATTACCTGGGTAGGTGTAATGATAGGAACACCGCCAACAATTTCTGTCCTGTAAGACACTTGCTTCTTTCCACTTGGGCTTTCGGCTTGACGATTTGCATTATCCATTTGACAAAGAGGATCAGACTGCTTTGGTACCTGAAAGTGGAATATGGTAATTAACAAAGTTTTATGAAGACCCAAAAAAAGCCTTAATCATTACTCAAGCATTTTTAATTTGTCATCAGCAGGATTTAACAAATGTTCTCTAATTCTAAAAGGCCATGAATAGCTTACATGAAAACTTGTTGCAATGGCTATGCTTTAGTTTTCAGAAGAAAATTGGTGCCAATTAAGACATATCATCAGGTATCTTGAAATCTAAAAATCAATTCCCAGCTTTGCCATAAGTACTATACTTGATCTTCAAGAAGCACTTTTAATTTGTAGACAAACTAATTCTTTATTTTTCACTTGCTTTCAGTTTTAGTAACAAGTGCTTTAGACTGGAGATGCCCCAGTGCCCGTAGAGCTAGCACAGTGAGGCCATAAACACAGGGCTACAGTATTGAGACTTTTGTCAAAGAGGATGCCTGACCAGTATGACATTTGCATTCACATTCCAATAACTTGGCACAAAGACTGTGTACTGCCTCCATTAATCCTACATATATTGCTAAATTCTGTCCAAAATGACCCTACCTACCTATTTCTAACCATCATTAACTATTAGATAATCTTTTCAAATGTGGAAATAAGCAATCAAAACACCACAGCAATTTAATTTCCCCAGTGTTTTGATCTGAAATGTTTATTCAAATTTCTGAGTTCATGCAAGTAGTAAACATTTATAACCTAAGAAATGCATTAACTGGCTACCTAAGACATTTTCATTTATAATTTCCTTTTACCCCTAACATTAGTATAGTAAATTTGAAGTGACTTCAACAAGAAGAGATCAAGACTCTCACACCAGAATATCTGAGCCAGCAACCTATGGATATTTACAGACGACACCCAAATTCCTTCAGAAATAAGGGACATGCAAATTGTCTTTACATGGTGAATTACCATGCAAGACTGCAGCACATTCAAAACTTGAAATTGAACTGATCTAGACAAAACCAAAGCTGCAATTCTAGTTCCTATGCCCAGGACTGCTTATTTTACAGAAAAAAAACCCCAGCCTGCAAAGAAGTATAAACAGTCCTGAGAGCCCAAATGTCAGGCTAGGACAGCTTCCTCCTGGCCAAGCGAAGGCGGCACTCAGCAGCTCACTCAGCTGTGGCATCAGGCTCATTCTGTCACTCCCACCATCCCCCAACTTTGCCAGCACAGGTAAACGGTGACCCCGTTCACAGCCAAGTCTGGTGCTGAAGAATAAGATGTTATCCTAGTACATGCAGATCTTGCCTTGCAAGAGACGGAACTTGTAGCTACAGCTTTATGGGTAAGTGCTTCAGCCCTCACAAACTCCTACTTAAAATGTTACAGACCAAACCCACAACTACCTTCTCATAGAAACACATTTTGAAACAGTACTCAGATACACAATGTGCTAGACTGAAAAAGTTCAGAGTTATTTTGAAATTATCAGCACTCGGAATGATAAAAAAATGCAATGAATCTTGGAAGATTACAATCTACAGCAAGTAATGCTCATATGAAAATTAATAATGATCTTTATTTGATTAAATAACTGGCCATACTAAATAACCTCTGAACATATTAACAGATTAACAGTTTAAAGGTTTGTTCCTTCAAAGACAAGCAATACTAATGATTCTACCAGCCATTTAGAATCCAAATTAAACATATGATTAACAGCTTTCAGACTAAGTTCTAATTTGATGCAATTAATTCTTTATTCACTCTATTTCTTGAACTGAAAACAATTCAAGCCTGGTTGTGGTGCATCCTCCTTATGAAAAACTCAAGTGAGAAGGCTTTGTGTTTCTGGTGGTTGGGGTTTTTTTGGGTGGTGGTTTTTTTTTTAAATTTAGTAGTAGTGGTAATGTTTTTATAACTCCAAAGAAAGGGCATTAAAACAATGCAAACAACTCACAGAAATATCCTTAGATGACCTAAAAATGAGAAAGTTACTGACAACAAATACGAATGTGCACACTCATGCTCAGAACCCCTTCTTTGTAAGGGTATGCCCTCAAAACAGTTCATGCCATCACTTCCCTGAAACAGGGGAGAAAACAAAACCATAACTTCTGCCTCCTGAAAAGATGGAGGTAATACGTAGGTTTTTCTATCATGTGATAACAAGCTGTCCTGGTACAAACCAGAAAAGTAATTTAACACTTATCAGAAGAATGAATTAATATTTCTTTGAATGGATGTTACTTGAAATTAGGAGGGAGCCTTTGGAACAATGCATGACATGTTTGCTCATTATCTTAGCGATAGTTTAAGAAATACAAACTTTTGACACCAGGCAAATGTATGCGTATGTTTTCATTGCTTGCAAGTGTCTTCTGAATATTTCAATTAATATTAAACCTATATGGTTAATTTTAAATTATTAGAAACCATCATATGCTGTAATGAAAAAGAAACACATTTTTGTCCAATTTTCAAAGCAAAAAGTAAAATAAACTCAAGTTTAGGGGGAGTTCTGCACAGTTTCTCCAAGTCTTGGAAAGCCAAGCCAAGACTTGTTTGTAGAGAAAAAAAGACTGTTCTAGCGTAAAAACTGGAAGCAAAGGTTACATTTAAGCATCTTGAGAGAGTCACCATCTGAAAGCATTGCTAAGTATCAACTAAACCACTTACTGTGATTTTGGTAGCTTTGTTCAGAACATTTACCCATTCAACTAGGTCCTGCTGATCATTGGCTTGTAGAAAGTATTTTCTCATCCCTGCATTCATAACTGTTAAAAACGATTATAAAAAGTTAACAACAAAAATTTAAGAGCAAACTTAACACCATCATAAAAAACTTGATTTCAGATGGAAAATCCAGTTGAAGTATTTAAGCTCTATGCTGCATTTCTTTTTACAAAGTCATCTTAAGACACATACATCCACTTGACAGGCTTGCTTTATTCTAAAAAACCCCGCAAAACTGTTTTTCTTCTTTTTTTTTTTTTTTTAAAGCTCTCCACTTAAACAGCACCACATAGAATTTGTAAAATTTTTACTACATAGAAATAAAGCTTTGAATTTTATCAGAATTTTCTACAGCTCCATTTCCCTAAGTAACAGAGTTATACTTGGGGACTTCGACAATTTCTCCTTTTAATCCTCTGAACAGTATCTGTTATCCTTTGTAACCTCATTAACGTGACTACAACCACTGATTATTTTTTTTTTTTAATTTGTGGAAAAATCAGCACTGATTACCAAGTATATGATGCTCAGGACCCAACAACTGTAAGACAGCCAGAATATAAAACTTTATTTTACTTTAGTGACTTGACAAAGAAAGCATATTTTTAGTAAGTTTATATATTTATGTGGCAACAACCTAGCATACCTTTATCCAAGAAGGACAAACTTTTTCTGCGTAGAAGTGGAAAAAAAAAATCATGGCTAGGTTTCTTACAAACTCTAAGAGCCTATCTTGAAATTAGTTTTAAGATTAATAGCGACTAAAACCTTCCCAGAACTCTGAAGCTTTGGAGGTAAAGTCAGAATAGATTTTGTTGCACTACCTATAACATAACAGTTATTTAGGCCATTGCTAACAGCAAACACATGCTAGAAAGATATTTTTTACTTTTCTATCATCTTTCTCCCCAAAGCAGATGGCTTGAAGCAAACATTATTAGGTGCAAACATAAATTCAAAATACAGAACTGTATAATGTGTTGTCTGAAACAACTCCCTGAATTTAAATAAAAAGACAATAAGTGTAAATTTTTCCTTTAAAAAGTATCAAAACCACTTTAATAAATCAGAAATATTAAAAGCTTTCGGCCAGCACCTTGGATCATTAAGGCTTTTTAAAGCTGCCTCACTGACGAGTAACTTTACAACTGATGAAGACAAACACCTTGACACATGCATGTGCAGAGGAATCTGTAGATGGCACTGAACTGACACGCTAGGTACTAGTCTAGAATCCCTGAAGCTTTACATACGGGGGTGATTTACCAAGCATTTCAGGAACTCCAACACTGCACAAGTCTGGTGCACCTGCCTTCTCCAGGCCAGTGCAACACAGGACAGGAGAACTAAACTAAGAACACAGGCGAAGGACAACTTAACTAGTTGTCATAAAACCTTCAAGCATTTTCAGTACCTTCATCTGAGCTAAAACTCCTATGTGAATGAAGCCATAAAGAATGGTTATTCATAAACAGAGCAGAGGCTGATTCCAGTCTCTGCACAAACTTTTGTGAATGCCAATTGCTTGTCAAAAAATCTGGAATTACGGTAAATTCTAGATAAATTACTTATACAAAAAATCTAAAAAAGAACATAAGGGACTTATGATTATCTAGAGCTTTATGCAAGTTTAAAGAAGTATCAATACGCCTAGAAGGTACCCCAAGCAAATTCTTTTTCATCAGTGCAGCAATAGAGGCTGACATTTAATCTAAGAGCATTGGCTGACAGTATTTTTAGAACAATCAACTCTTATCAGTAATACAGATTAAAAGAGTTAAATTACTTGTCTTCATAGCTGACAGGCATGCCATGTTTCTGAAAACACCTATCATTTTTGATTAGCTTATTAATGCCTCAAAAATCTCAAACATCTGAAAGACAGCTCACCTATTCCTCATTAAGCTGCAATATGAAAAGCCACAAAAACACCTTATGAAGAAGCCAACATTTCCCTCATACTAACGAGGAAACAGTGAATACAAGCTATTTAAAACCCAAAACACTACCAGCTGTATCTAGCAACAAAATTGCAGAACATTATCACTGTTTCAAATTTCTGAAGAATGTACTTGATGCACACGCCACATGCAAGAACTTACCAAAACAGAATTCTGCCTTTGGTCTTAGCTTAGTTGCATCGCTAACCTAGTAGGGAAGTTAAGATTATAAATATTACTTTGCATACAAAATAAATATCAGATATCACAAATTTTTCTTCCTCTTTCAAGTGGCTAAATTTGAAGATTAGCAGCTTAGCAAGCTTCTTAGGTATAAAGGTATACAGATATAACAAAATACGCTATATAAAATTCAGCTCAAGATGTGCAACTTATGTTAAGAAAATAGCTTAAGCCATATGTTCCTATTTCTTAAGTTTAAGGATCCATTACCAGACAAATGTTGAAATCTGAAAACATTAGCCTTCTTGCATTTTGAAGTTCCACATCTCAACTGAACTAAAAATTCAAGGACATTTCATACTGTCAAGGACATCAGTTGTATTTTGGTTCATTAACATAAACAGAATAATAGTCACTTTTCTTCAGGAGTCTCTAAAATGTTGCAGTGTTGGGGAAGGAGAGAAGCATGTGTCCTGTTTTGAGAGAGGCGTTTAGATTTTTTTCATTGTAGGCCACATCTAGCAAGAGTGGGGAAGAAGGCAAAGCAGTCTTCTCACATCAAAACCCTTTTTTTGGCCAGAAACAAAAAAACACGTACTACATAAGTAGAAGAACTATGGCAAGTTTGACAGAGCATCAGCACAGGAGGCACACTCAGGCTGCTGCCTTCAAAGGTGCACACAGGTGCAAAGGCACAGGTGACCACCCCTGCTCCCATTAAAAGTGTAAAAACACAAGATTTCAGATTTATTAAGATGACAACTGTGAGGTTTGGGGCAAAGTAAGCATAGGAGGAAAGCAGGAAGGACATAAGCAAGTCACCACAGACATTTCTATACTCATGATATAACCAGCAAGAATGATATCTTTTACAAAAAAATAAAAAAAACATAACAAAGAAGGTGGGAAGATGCAAAGAAAGGATGAGAAATGAGAAGACAGGGGAAGATCATTTATTTTTGTCCACTTATTTGTTAAGGCAGTATCTGCTACAAATTTAATCATGGAGACTTGCTTAGTTCAGTTTTCTTTCAGATACATTTGGGAGTGTATACAGAGTGTAATGAACTAAGTATTTTCTAGAAACTCTTCTGTTCTATCGATTAAAGATCATTACTTACTTGCAAACTATCACACCCAAAGACTTATCTTCCACTTCATAAATGGCCTGTCTTTTCTCCAAGACTAATTGGAATTCAAATACTCATAAAGAATTGAAACATACAGTTCAGAAATACTAATTCTATGCAGCACAAGGAGCTGCTGTTTGAAATCACACAGCAAACAGAGAACACAGTAATTAGTCTGGTTCATATTTTAATCTGATACTGTTGAAACATTCATAACATCTCTAAACTTCAGGAGTAGCACACAAACAAAAGCCTTCCCATGAGCTACATAAGAGGCTTTTAAAATTGTCTAAAGTTGAGGCCTTCAGAAGCAATCCTTGGTAGTTATCACCCAAAACTTAGCAACAAGCATCTTGCATATCATCTTACCTTCGAAATATAGGTAAGTTTAATGACTCCAACAGGTGGAGATCCAGAGGGAAGATTCTGAAACAAATCATATGTTATAAAGTGAAACTAGTTTACTCCCATATCACAGTCAGTGTTTACACATAAAAAGCAAATAATTCCACAAACAAAAAGACAATCCCACTTTTTTTATAGACAATACACAATGTATGCTTGAAACAGGATCTAAACTACTTGTTTATTATACACACATCTGTTAATTGACTAAAAACAGAAAGACTGCTAGAAACAATACAAATAGTAGTTGTTTCAGAGGTTTATGTATTTTACTAGAGGAAAAAGGATTCTTGCAGGTCTGCATCCAGGAAATCCGGAAAGAATACTTTTTCCTTAACAGATGTTGGCGTCTTATGTATTTTGACCAGGGCAGGCGGAAGGGACAAGAAGTGACATTCATCTATTATGTCAGATACTTCAAAGGCTATCTCACATATTTTTCCAAAAACAGAATGAAAAATCATAGTATTTTCATTTAATATTACAGTTATTGCAGGGAAAGACCGCAATAAGTATATTTACAATTCAAAAAAGGAGCTGTCCATTGTTTTCACATCCTTGCTTAACATACTAGTCTTAACTTTTAGATTACTATTCACAATCAGCTAGTAGTCTAGAGATATAAACAAATGAGCACCACGAAACATGGTTAACTTTTTTCTTAACTGTTTCTGATGAAACAGTCTTCCTGATTTTATTCCTTTAAATAGTGTTGTTTTCAATATATTTTTTCCATTACAATTTTTACTTTCAAAAGGGCCCTTTTTGTTACAGCATCATTCTTCCCACTACAGGCCTCCCTGGAGACCATAAGAATGGTGCTGCATCTGCTCACTGATGCTTTCCCCAGCTAAAGTGCTCTTCATTATTCTGTAGTACCTTATGAACTTCCATATTGCAGAGAGAAGCCTAATGCTACCGGCAGAGTCAGAAAGATAAGTACTTGTTTTACACTCCATTCATATTTCAAAGGTAAGAAGTAGGTTAGGTTTACTACAGACTGGTAACACTGAAATTTAATAAAGAAGTCTTCTCATTCTGCCCAAATAAAGAAATCTAAGTTTTACTTTAGCAGAATGATTTTGATCCCAGCATAAACTAGTGTTATAACATTTATATTAGGATAATAATGTGCTATTAATGGTGGACTTCAATGACATTATTTCTTTGAACAGCTGAACCAATTTTCACAGATACCAACAGAGTCCTTCTACCAGCAACAAAGGGCCCAGCGGAGTTCTACACAAACCATAGGCTCATCCTATATGAAGAGTTTCACCATTTCAAGGATTAAGAATGGTCTCCACACAGCAGCTCTATAAAAGCTCTGTAGTCTTCAAAACTAAAGCAGCAGTGGAAGAAAAATCAAGCAGCTTCAACTTGCCCCTTGCAAGTCATCCTTTCATTTGTGCATGAACTCTAACACAAAAAAAAAAGAAAGCCTAAACTAAAAACTTTAACAGCTGTGCACTGAAAATATCATTAGTCTTAAAACTTCCAATGAACTGCAATTTCTATGGCATTTCAAGTTTTTGCCCACATGGCCTAATTACATCACAGGAGAAACTGAAGAAAGGAACTGCTTCATATCACTGGTTGAGATCAAACATTTGAAGTCTCTTATTTCCAGAAATTATTCCTTTTTTCTCCTCAGTATGAACTTCTGAACACTTCAGTCACAAGTCACATTCATTGAACTACATATCGCTTAATTATTTCTTTTTCACTGGTTCCTTTGAACAGTCAATTTCTACTGCATTTTAACTGTGGTCTTCCTGGCAGAATGGTACATGAATATTCTTGTGGCAGAAGTTTTCAGCTGACCTAGATCCCACACTTTCACCGTCTCTGTACCCAAATCCTAAGCAATTATCTGTTCTCCCCTATGCTAGAAAAAACATTCATGTGTGTATGTTGTAAAAGTGGCTTTTATATAAAAGATGCTCTCCAAGATGGTTACAAGCTTTTTGCTTTCACATACCATTCATGCTGTATTGAAACTGCAAGCATCATTAGAAATTACTTTTGAATGACTGATTCAGTTGAAGTAAAGTAACACAAAACTGCTAACTGACCCATGCAATGCAAGGAAAACTGCATACTTCCACATAGGGTTAAAGGTGAAGTAAAAGACCTGAAATAATGAAACTAGTATGGCATTCAACTCATTTGGTTATATTATATAGCACTACCTCGTGCCTGCAAGAACCTGCAATGCCCATTCAAGACACTTGGTAGAAAACAAAGAAGTACATCATGATTCAAAATAAATAACTGATTTACATGTGATATCAAATTCAGATTCTGATCCCCAATTCTCCTGTCAATACTTAGATTTCATATATTGGCAATTCACTGATTTTTCCAGTTGTTTTTAGTGTTTTACTACTATCTGCAATTGGTAATGTTTTAAACACAAATAAGAATTCTATTTTTTTCTTTAAAACTCTGCACATATTAGCAAAGAAGAGACATTGATTTACAGTGATTTCACTTACTCTTCTCCCCTCCCCAGCTGCCAGATGCATAAACTAATATTAAACCCTGTTTTTCTTAAGTAAATTTGTTAAAAACCTGAAAAAAGTTTAAATTGATAGAAGCCAGATAACTATTGCCAAGAACATCTTACCTGTGGGTTATCCATGTACCACACCAGACTGTCTTCTCGTGTGTCCAGAATGAAGTACCGCCGCAGAAATTTTCCACTATTCTCATTTTCTTCAATATCCAAGAAACCACAAATGCGATTCTGACGATCCACATAAGGCATTTCTGACCCTGAGCATCACACTGCAGAACAAACACCATAGAAATTAAGCAAAGTTCCTTGTTACTAATTTTAAGACTGTTCCGTGCCTACCCATGACATTTTGAGCAGTTTCAACTAGTACCTTAAAGAAGTTTCTAAACAAGAGTAAGTGAAGCGTAGCTGTTTCCCTCCACTACCACCACTGAATTTTTAGATAGGTCTTTCTTACTTCTTTGAAGCACATAACTTAGGATATTTAATACCCTAAGTGCAAGATACAAGTAGTAAATAGTAGATGAGCACCAAGACTAGCTTTTACAAGATGACTAAAGAATAATCAAAGATTCTCCTTCACAACTTGCACATAGTTGAGATAATGCTAGATTTACACTTCCTTCTTTGACATTGCCTTTCATGGTCAAGAAAGGATCTTTGTCAGCAGCTCTACTGTCCAACGTGATTTTTCATATTTTGCTTAGGCAAATTCAACAAAAAGGCTTTTAGAAACATTGTTCAAGTTTTTCTTTTCTCCTACAAAAAGAGCTTCATGTCTAACCATGTCTAAGAACAGACATCTTTTCATCCTTATACATTAAATATAAATTGTACATGCAGCAACAGAGACATCAACACACTTGCTAGTCCAAAACTGAAATCCACAATATCCACATGGTAGTAAGTTTGAGGTTGGTAGGCATTTTTTGTTTTGGGGAAGGTGGTATGTAGCATGTGTGTCTTTTTTTGTTCTGCTTTAAAAAATAAATAAAAATCTGTACTGATGACCACCTATTCTCATTTTGCCTGCTTCACCTTTTATGGCTCTGTCTTCCTGCAGGCTACTGCATCTTTTTTTTTTTCCTTCTTCCTTTTATTTTATGGGACAGACATTTTACCTTAAGAGCCAGCATTGTAAGACCAAAGATATATTTGCATACTCATGTAAAAGTGGCAATAAACCAACATTTAAATATGATTAAAATCAGGTCAATGACAAATCTTTCCCAGAGCAGAAGAGAAAGAATTAAGTCTTCTTTACATTTTGTTACAAAACTCAGAAATAGTACATATCCAAACATATGTACAAATGAGACATATAAAAAGTGTGAAGTGCTTAAACCTTCTAACATCTTCCAGAGCTCACTGTGTAATACGGAAATTTCTTTTTAATATTTCTTGAAATTGTTAACCTTTACTGTTTCCTTGCTTAAAGTTATTTGATTTAAATATAGTTATATACACACACAATGAGGCAGACATCTGATAACCATCCGTAGCTAGCTATTGATGCACCACAGTAAAACCTGATATACAGTTAAGCACATTTTAAAGTATTTATTTTGGAGAATCAGCTATACAGGTAAGCATACATTTATTTTGGTGAATCAGATATACAACCTGTAGATATATGCTGTATTTACAGCTGTCATAAAATGACTAATTAGAATACTAGTCAAATATTGCTTCAATCACTGAGAAACATTTTTTTAAAAAAAAATCTATTACTGTGATTTTGATAACATCCTAGAAAAACTTCTAGCAATTCAGTAGTAATTGCAATCTCTTCAACTTTTTGCAAAATCATAATGATGACAGACTATTAAAAATGCTAGTGGTTTGGTTTTATTAATGTAAGCTATTAAATGCTAAACTTAAATACATTTTTGTGTATAACAAAGTTAACACACTTTTGTTTGACATGCAAAACATTTTCTATGTAGCTACAAGGACATTAAATGTGTATAAGCCTTTCATTAAGCTCTTGACTGATTTGGTTTTCCTTCTATCTCCAAAAGGTAAGAGTCTCCATATTTAAGGTATGCAACAATGGTTTAAATCTTCAAAGGCATAGGTTTGTTCTTCAATAAAGTAACAAAGTTTACTAAGGTAATATAAATTTTATTGGTATGTTCCTCACAAATTTAATTATCACAGATCTAAGACAAGTTCTGTAACCAAGTAACAGCAAAAACAAACACTTGAGCACTCTTAGGACAATGTCATAATCATAACAAACATTCATCAGTAATTCACACACTGGCTCTTGGGATCACTTTATACTGAAGCAACATCTCACTACAAACACATCTGTAGCTAGGGGCAAGCTTAAGGGTAGTTGTTCTCTGAGTGATACCTCCAAGCTGGCAGAACTTGGCATCACGTTATTTTCATTTAAATGAATATCAAAATTGTCATTTACCACTATTATCTTAAGTTGTGCCAGGTGGTCCCTCAACAAAATATACAGCACTTCCGGGACACCATTTCAGCTTAATATCAGCAGTTTATGAAGCCCAGAAAAGCCTTGTGCCTAAAAAAAGCAAAAATCGATGGCTGGTTTCCTGTTTGAGCAGGCTTAAGCTGTGTTCTCTGCAGATGTGAAGAAAACGAAACAAGGAAAACTTGTTTTTGAAACAAGATTCAAATTAAGAATCCTTGAATAAAACCAACTGAGTTTTCAAAGCACTTTTCCCCTATAGGAGAATTTATGTTTCAAAAAACCTTTTAAGAAAAACAAAAGGATAGTCATAATGCTCCATTATGAGCATGCAATTAGCTAAAGTTGAACTTC